TTCAGAATTCATCCTGCCAGCAGTCACATCATCAATAAATACAAGAGAACCAGTTCCATTGGCAGCCATACATGCCCGCACCATGACACTACCACCACCAAGCTTCACTGATGAGGTGGCATGCTTAGGATCATGAGCAGTTCCTTTCCTTCTCCGTATTCTTCTCTTCCCATCACTCTGGTACAAGTAGATCTTGGTCTCATCTGTCCATAGGATGTTGTTCCAGAACTGTGAAGGCTTTTTTAGATGTCGTTTGGCAAACTCTAATCTGGCCTTCCTGTTTTTGAGGCTCACCAATGGTTTCCATCTTGTGGTGAACCCTCTGTATTCACTCTGGTGAAGTCTTCTCTTGATTGTTGACTTTGACACACATACACCTACCTCCTGGAGAGTGTTCTTGATCTGGCCAAGAAGGGTGTTTTCTTCACCAGGGAAAGAATTCTTCGGTCATCCACCACAGTTGTTTTCTGTGGTCTTCTGGGTCTTTTGGTGTTGCTGAGCTCACCGGTGCGTTCCTTCTGTTTAAGAATGTTCCAAACAGTTGTTTTGGCCACGCCTAATGTTTTTGCTATCTCTCTGATGGGTTTGTTTTGTTTTTTTCAGCCTAATGATGGCTTGCTTTACTGATAGTGACAGCTCTTTGGATCTCATCTTGAGAGTTGACAGCAACAGATTCCAAATGCAAATAGCACACTTGAAATGAACTCTGGACCTTTTATCTGCTCATTGTAATTGGGATAATGAGGGAATAACACACACCTGGCCATGGAACAGCTGAGAAGCCAATTGTCCCATTACTTTTGGTCCCTTAACAAGTGGGAGGCACATATGCAAACTGTTGTAATTCCTACACCGTTCACCTGATTTGGATGTAAATACCCTCAAATTAAAGCTGACAGTCTGCAGTTAAAGCACATCTTGTTCGTTTCATTTCAAATCCATTGTGGTGGTGTATAGAGCCAAAAATTGTAGAATTGTGTCGATGTCCCAATATTTATGGACCTGACTGTACATCACCTTTTTTTTCTGTTCTATGGGAAATTGTGATAAACCAAAGCTGGATGAGAAAGTAGGGTTTTTGTACTTACTGTAAAATCCGTTTCTTGGAGTCCAGCGAGCACAAAAGTTTTTTTTTTTTTTTTTTCCATTGAGGGATACAGGAAGCCATATTGTCAGGATTTCCAAAAGCAGACCAACAGAGGTAGTGGGCAACAGCAGCAACTGCTAAAAGGATCAACAAAAACAGAACTGGGGACTGCCTGCAACCCAAGAACCGCCTGAAGGGCAAACACCCGAATCTGGCAAAAGATGAGACCGAACCTCCTGCCTAATAGGGGAATTAGCCAACAGGACTCGAGTGAAGACATGGAGAAATCAACCTGACGCCCAAGAAAAAAAAATGGTTAACAACCAGAGAGGAACGACTCAATACAGAAGGGAGCACCAAGCCTTGGACCAAGCGAGAAGCTGGACAACCTTAAAGCAGATGTGCTAAAAAAAAAAAACCACATCAGGGGCAGACTGACAACTCATGGGGCCCCCGGGCATTAGGGGATCATGGGGCTCGTGTCCTTGCCCAAACTCAAAAAAGCCTATGAAAAAGGTACCAGGGGCATCTCATAGGGCCCCCTACTGACCCCGGGCCCTCGGGCAGTGCCCGAGTTTCCGAATGGTCAGTTTGTCCCTGCCCCACATCCGATAATTTTGCAGCATCTTTGTGATCCTGAAGTTGTCCCACAGTGACTCTATGACCGAGAACTGACCGCTGGTTGCTCAGCTCTCAAGTCTGCTCCAAATCAGCTCTCGGTCTCTTCTGGGTCACAGGCAGCAGTGTATTTACCATGAGGAAAACAAGGCAGTTGCCTTTGATGGCAATTTTCAAGGGGGCGGCACTTTCCCCCACCCGAAGAAGGGACACAAGTGGTAAAGATGGTGACCTGGTCTGCTACGCCATGAGAACCGAGGAGGCTGCACTCTGTTGGAGGGTGTGGGGATGGCCGGCAGCTTGTTTCATTCCAGAGGTTAAGGTCAGTGCATGAATCAGGTGGTCACAAAGGGGGTGGGGGATATGAGTTGGTCAATGGGGGGCGTCGGGTGGATGGGGGGGTTGCGGTGGTGGCGAGGGGTGGGGCTTCGCCTGGTTTTAGTGTTCCCTAGGTCAGCACAGAAACTAAATACACCACTGGTTGCAGGAGTACAAAAAAGGAAATGTGCTCCTGTGACCCAAAAGAGAAGTATGGCCAAAAAAGCTTTGGCTATACTTCTCACTGAACCCAACAAAAGTGTTGGAACAAACTTCCATTTAGGGAAAGAAAAAAAAAAAACTACAACCTGACATGGTCAACAAGGAAAAAGGTGAACCTCCTAGTACAAGCTGGTACCAGTCAAGGAACCTAGGAAAAACGTCATTGTAAAGGAGGACCAGCCCGTCTACGTAGGAAGGCCCTAAGCTTCTACTCAACAGGCCTCACAGGGGTCAAGAAACAATTACTTTGTGCCTAGAGAGTTTGTTGGAGAAGACAACCAACCTGTCAAGGTGAGACTTACCAGGGAAGAACCCTGAAATTAAATTTCAATTCAACAACCTGCAAACTGTGAAAGACGTCTGGGGTTACCCTCTGCAGCAACAACATCCCTTCTGTGACTAGATACAGGCAAATTGCAACCACGTGGTGGTGATGTAACTCGCTCAGGGTACAAGGCAAAGCCTCAGGTGCTACAAAGGATAACCATGGGCTAGCCTACATTTTTTTTTTTGTTTGCCAGTTCCTCCTTTGAGAATTCAATGGTATACGATGTTTAACCATTTCAATACCGTGCAATTTTACACCTTCCTGCCCAGGCCATTTTTCACGTTTCAGCGCTCTGACACTTTGAATGACAATTGCACGGTCATACAACATTGTACCCAAACTAAAATTTTATCATTTTCTTCACACAACTAGAGCTTTCTTTTGCTGGTATTTAATCACTGCTGGGGTTTTTATTTTTTGCTAAATTAACAAAAAAAGACCAAAATTTTGAAAAAAAAAAGACGTTTTCTTTGTTTCTGTTATAAAAGTTTACAAATAAATAATTGCTCTTCATAAATTTAGGCCGAGATGTATTCTGCTACATGTCTTTGGTGAAAATAACCCAAATTAGGATGTATTATTTAGTCTGTAGGAAAGTTATAGAGTTCACAAACTATGGTATAGATCTGAAAATGATTAATCCTGAAGTACTGACAGCCAATCTAATTTCTTGAGGTCCAAGAATGTCAGAACAGTACAGATATCCCCCAAATGACCCCTTTTTGCAGAGTAGACAGTCCGACGTACTTCATAAGAGGAATGGCGAGTTTTTTGAAGTTGTATTTTTTTTGTCATAATTTTTTGTAAAATTAAAAAATGTAAAAAATTATTTTCACTATTTTTTTTTTACATACTGTCACCAGTGCAGTACAGCATCATCATATAACTGGCATGGCGGTGAACAGGGACACTGACTGGTGACAGTATGAAAAAAAAAAATATATTTTTTTTTATTATTTTTAATTTTTTATTACATTTTTTTAAAGATTTTTTTTCATATTTTACTATGACCAAAGTAGTACAATGTTACCATAGTAACATTGTACTACTTTGGGGAAGTGATCAGCATTTTTTTTTTTTTTTTTTTTTTTTTTTTTACACAATTTGCTTATAGCAAAGAATTACTTTGCTATAAGCAAGCATTTAACCTGAATGAAATCGATTCATTCAGGTTTTTTTTTTTTTTTTGTGCTTAGCTGTGATTTGGTCACAGTGCATGTGCATGTGATTAGCTGTGACCATTCACAGCTAGGCAGTAGTATACAATGGATGGCATGAATGAAGCCATCCATTGTATACAACTGTCATGTGACCTGCTGTGATTGGTCACAGCAGGTCACATGGTACCAGCAATGGGGGCCGGTACTCAGATCTGTCATCGGCCGTGTCCGAGGTACACGGCCGGTGACAGATCGCCCCCGCTGCGCGGCTCTGCAGGGTCGCAAACTGCGCATGTGCGGGTGCACGCCAAATGGCGTGCACCCGGAATGCCGAAGCACTTCTGAAGCCGCCAAACGGCCATTGGCCGGGCGGCTAATGGTTAACCCCCCTGGCGGTATTCCCGAGTGTAGCTCGGGGTAAAGTTTCAGCACCACAAGCGGTAACCCCGAGCTACACTCAGGAATACACTGCAGCGTTGCTCCGGGATCTCTTCTTCACTTACCTTGTCCTGCGTTCCCGCGATGTCCCCCCTGCAGTGTCCCCCGCAATGTCCTCCGGCCGATGCCGGCATCTGTCTTCCGGGTTCCATTCCCTGCGACGTTGGGACGTATGGGGGACAGAACTGGCGGGAAATTTAAAAATGTCAAAAAGTGACATTCACTCAATACACTAAAATCACATAGTATAACATTCCTGTATCAACCCATTTCACATACATTTTGTCCCGAGTGCTTTGTCCGGCGCCCTGCCTGCATTTTTACTGTTCTTTCTGCCTGGAAACTGAGAATCGTCCATGGCGTCCAAAAAGCGTCCCTTTAGGTCAAAAGCGGTTTTAGACCGGCTAGAGAACAGCAATAGTAAATCAGAACCACTTGCAGAATTGAGTGATAATGATTCGTGGGGGAAATTCGTCATCAGACACTGAAAACGATTCTGCGACTTTGCTCAGCGATGTGCAAACTTGGCGCTCTATTTCAAATTTGTGTTTTTGGTTTGATTATATTATTTTTATGATTTATTAAATTATAATTTAGGATTTCATGTTTCAAGTTTTATCATACCCGGGATGTTTACTAGACTTTTGTTTGGACAGATTTCAGTGAGTTATTCCTAAAAATTACAGGCCTGCAAAAAAAAAACTACATATTTCCATGCAAAAAAATGTACCGCTTTGAGCACAGAAATACTGACATAATCAGTAAAAAAACTGAGGAGGTTAAAAAAACCTGTAAGAACCCTCATGAAGCATTAGAACAATGTACTTACGATCTTCCTCTCATAGAAGGCTCCGCTGCTGTACGTTGTAGCAAGGGTGGAGGCACACTCCTCCAGGTACCAAGGCTTGTAACCATTCTCTGTGGTGCTGCTAATGGAAATGGTGTAGACACTGTTGGTATATCCATCACAGGAGCAGTAGTCGCCTTCTCTACCACCGTTACCAGATGCCCAGACAAAAATTGAACCAAGCCCTTTGCGGCCCTAAAACAAAGACAAACCAAAAAAAAAAAATAAGGTATGAAGTTTTTAAAACTATTTACTTACAGAAGAACTTCAAACTATCCTATCAAACTAGATGTCACAGAAGGAAAGGTCCATGGAAAATGGCAGAAAGCAGAATTTACTACACAAGCCCCTATGAGAGGCACAAAAACACAATGTCCTGGAAGTCCAAACTGTCATACAACAATGTACATATCGGATATCCTCATACTTAGGAGGGACGTTCTATGAAAGCTAAAGTGTGGTTTCTCATGGTCTTGTTTCTCACCAAAAAAAAAAAAAGAGCAAAAAAAGTATCCCGAAGTGGCTACGTACAAGTTGTGATCAGAAGTTTGCATATTCGTGGAGATCTGGTGATAAAATGCATCGATTTTAACCACTTCAAGTCCGGACACTTTCCCCCCCTTCCTGACCAGGCCAATTTTCAGCTTTCAAGGCTATCACACTTGACACACTTGACTTGATTGACAATTGCGCGGTCATGCAACACTGCACCCATATGAATTTTTTTTGAGATAGATATAACTTTATTTTGGTGGTATTTATTCACCACTGGGATTATTTTTTTTTTGCTATGTAAATGAAAAAGTCCAAAAATTTAGAAAAAAGTGTTTTTCCTCCTAGATTGTAAGCTCAAAGGAGCAGGGCCCTCGAATCCCTCGTGTTTTGTATTGTTACTGTATTGTCTCATGTTCTGTCCCCCACTTTAATGTACAGCGCTGAGCAAATCCTTTGGCGCCATATAAACACTGTATAATATAAAATGTAATGTAATTTTTTTCTTATAAAATTTTGCAAATAAATAATATTTCATAAATCTTGGCCAAAATTTATTCCGTTAACTTTTTAGTAAAAAAAAACCCAAATTAGTTTAACCAAAAATTATAATTTTTAAACTTTTTTTTACATTTTTATATATTATTTTTTTGTACATACTGTCACCCTAGCAGTACAGTGTCACCATAGTGACACTGTACTATTTGTGGGGGGTAATGAAGATTTTTTTTTTTTTTTTACACTGATTGCTTTTACACCCATAAAGGCTGTAAAAGCAATCATTTCTCCATCTCTCTGGCTGCATTCTTGCAGCCATTGAGAAATACTGTGTGAGCTGTGATTGGTCACAGCTTGTCACATGGTACAAGGCTGTTGTGAATATCCTTGCACCATGTGACCATCTGTGATCATTCACAGATTTCACACGTAGTAAGCAATGATGTCAGGAAGTGACATCTTGCTTACTACTCTGCATTTGATCACTGATTGGCCAATCAGTGATCACATGATCGGGACCTCGGACAGAGGTCCCGTACGACAATCGGTGTTCCACTGTGGACACAGCGCGCACTGGATCACGGTACTGCGCGCTCCCAGGGAGCACGCACAAGCAGGGTTCGGGGAGGCCGTTTATAAACGGCCACCTGACCCTGCACTGCCACCGTCCGGCCGTTTATATACAACGGGCAGACGGGAAGTGGTTAAAGAAAACATGAGTGAGCAGGCAAAACATATTTCTTTTATTTCTAATGGGATTCATATTCTGTAACTGTAGGTCAAGATTTATGGTGAAATATTATTTATTTGCAAAATTTTATAAGAAAAACTTTTTTCAAAATTTTTGGAGTCTTTCATTTATATAGCAAAAAAAAATAAAAATCCCAGCGGTGAATAAATACCACCAAAATAAAGTTTTATCTGTCTCAAAAAAATGCAAAAAAATTCATATGGGTACAGCGTTGCATAACCGCGCAATTGTCATTCAAAGTGTGATAGCGCTGAAAGCTGAAAATTGGCCTGGGCAGGAACGGGGTGAAAGTGTCCAGACTGGAAGTGGTTAAAGATAGTTTTTTTTTGGCATGATTAGTCATTTTCAATATCAATGCCAAAATTTCACGATTTCTGCCAGGGGGCGGGGGTTTGAGGTGCAAACGTTTGAACTCAACTGCATACAGAATGTTTTTTTAATCCTTCTCAAGTCAGGACAAATGAAACGTTATTGCATACCAGAAACAAAGCCCATCTGGCTCAGGTTTTACAGTTTATCTTGTAGGATATAGCTGAAGGTCATCAATCCGCCATACTCTCTCCACACCAGTCTGGCTAAAATTTTTGAAGAAATTTTATTTTTTTATTTTTAATTGGATCTGTTTTACAGCAAAAAGTAAAAAAAAAAAAGTTTTCAAAATGTCTTTTTTCATTTATAGGGCAAAAAAAAAAAAAAAAAAAAAGTTGTGATCAAATACCACCAAAAGAAAGCTCTAGTTGTGTTAAAAAAACAAACAAAAAGACATGAAAAACAAAACCCCACACATTTACCAGTTAAAGTAGTGCGGTGCTTTCAGCCCTTTTATTGCAGAACTTGAACCCAATGAAACCTGGTCTAGAATATTGTGACACCGAGTGCATTAATTTATATGGAATAGCTTTATGGTGTACTGACGGGCCTCTGTCCATGTGCTGTCCAAAAGGCACAAGACTCCAATGCCTAAATTCTGCCTTGCCTCCAGAGCTGGAAAACAACAAGGACAGGAGAAGGAGGGATGATAACTGATGAAAATGAGGATAAATAGGAGGAAATAAAAGATAAAGATATAAAAGATAAAGATGAAAAAGAAGTAAAAAAAAAAGAAAGAAAAAGAGGGAAACAAATGAAAAAAAAAAAAAAAAGGAAAAAAAAGAAAAAAAAGGAAAAGGAAAAAAAGGAAAAAAAAAGGAAAAAGAAAAAAAAAAAAAAAGGAAAAAAAAAAAAAAAAAAAAAAAAAAAAAAGGAAAAAAAAAAAAGAAAAAAAGAAAAAAAAAAGGAAAAAAAGAAAAAAAAAAAAGAAAAAAAAAAAGGAAAAAAAAAAAAAAGAAAAAAAGGAAAAGGAAAAAAAGGAAAAAAAAAAAGGAAAAAAAAAAAAAAAAAAAGAAAAGGAAAAAAAAAAAAGGAAAAAAAAAAAAGAAAAAAAAAAAAGGAAAACGAAAAAAAAGGGAAAAAAAAAAAGGAAAAAAAAAAGGAAAAGGGAAAAAAGAAAAAAAAAAAAGGAAAAAAAAAAGCAAAAGGAAAAAAGACAATCCAGCCCTGACAGCGCTGGACATTCATCAGTCCCACACAGCTGTAACAGCGGTCCCCAGCGGCAATATTCGGATGACCTCTCTTAGTACTTGGGCTTGCAGCCAACACGGGCACCTCCCCTCCGTGTCTTATCACATACACAGAACATGTGTCCGATGTGTCAGCTGGATTCACACCCTGACCACAAGGACCCATGTCATTGGAAATCTTGTATGATGACCTCACACCACATCAGGAGCGGAGGACCAGCAAGTGGGAAATGTTTTTTTTCTGCACACAATAGAAATATATAGTTGTGTTTTGTATCTGGACCCGACCACTGTGTGACACTGAGCTGACAGCTGCTGACAAGTCTTCATACTGATCAGGCCAGGTATCTAGAAGGTGATATTTCATAATGGAATCACAGCACAGAACACACGGAGGGCGGGGCATAAAATGCACACGTACAGAATAAAAAAATTAATTAAAATAAGGCGGTATCGAGGCGGTACGCTAACAAAAAAGGCTTTTGCACGTCACAGGGACACTGACCTTTAGTGGGGCAATGGTTCGAAAATCGGACCGAAGAATAATCAGTCGATTTTTTGGGGTGGCAACCGGCTGGTTCCTCTCCTATCCGTTTATAGGGCGTGCTGGAAAATTTGTAAAAAACAACTGATTTTCGAAATCATTGATAGCATCATCGGATTACAGAATGAACAACGTTTTCAATCTTCGATCGAAAAATCATTTGGTATTCAACCCATGTATGGCCTGTTTAAGCCAGTACAAAAATTTAAAAAATCCAATTTCGTCAAATTTCAGCCAAAACGTATTCTGTTCCATGTCTTGGCTAAAAAAAAAAAATCCCAATACATGTAAATTAATTGGTTTAAGAGAGAGTTATAGCGTCTACAAATGGCGGGATATATACTGGGATTTAAGGGGTTTTTCTTTTTTTTTTACTAGTAATGACAGCGATCGGTGACTTATAGCGGGACTGTGGTGGGCATTCTGACACTGGGGGGAGGGAACTGACTTGGTGTCACTGACATCCTGGGAGCACGCAACAGCACGATCCGGTGCCCGCTGCGTCCTCCGGACACAGTGGAACACCGATCGTCATATGGGACCTCTGTGTGAGGTCCCGATCATCTGATCACTGATTGGCCAATCAGTGATCACATGAAAAGTAGTAAGCAAGATGTCACTTCTGACATCTTTGCTTACTACGTGTGAAATCTGTGAATGATCACAGAGGTCACATGGTACAGGGATATTCACAACAGCTTTGTACCAAGTGACAAGCTGTGACCAATCACAGCTCACTCAGTAGTTCTCAATGGCTGCAAGAATGCAGCCAGAGAGAAGGAGAAATGATTGCTTTTACAGCCTTTATGGGTGTAAAAGCAATCCGTGTTAAAAAAAAAAAAAAATCATCACCCCCTACAAGTAGTACAGTATCACTATGGTGACACTGTACTGCTAGGGTGACAGTATGCTTAAAAACAACAAAACGAAAAAAAAAAATATATAAAAAATAAAGTAAAAAAAAACATTTTTAGAAAAATTTAATTTTTGGTTATAAACGAATTTGGGATTTTTTTTTACTAAATAATAAATGAATCAATTTTGGCCAAGATTTATCAAGAAAGATTTATTTGCTAAATTTTATAAGAAAAACCCTTTTTTCAAAATGTTTGGACTTTATATAGCAAAAAAATAAAAATCCCAGTGGTGAATAAATACCACCAAAATAAAGTTTTATCTGTCTCAAAAAAAATGCTAAAAAATTCACATGGGTACAGTGTTGCATGACCGCGCAATTGTCATTCAAAGTGTGATAGCGCTGAATGCTGAAAATTGGCCTGGACTGGAAGGGGGTGAAAGTGTCCGGACTGGAAGGGGGAGAAGTGTCCGGACTAGAAGGGGTTAACGGAGTTATTCGTTTTCTTTTTAGGCTTTTTTCTCCCTTTTTTTCACCTGGTGATCTGGCCAGTAAGTCTGTTAGTTTTCAACTTCCTTGAAGCAAAAATAGAAGTTAGAGGGTTGGGACAAACCAATTGCTACGGACAGGGTTGCCTACATTGATCAGCTTTTATGTAAAACCTTTATCCCTAAAGGACAAAGAAAAAAATTTTGTTGCAAACTTATTATAACGTTTTAGCTTTGAGTTTGGCTTACATTTGTTAGTGTATCTAAATCTGCTAGTCTAACACCCCCTCCCCCCAGACTGACAATGCTGCTGTCCAAATGTGCCGCCTGTTCTCCTTCATCCAGAGTGGGGGCGTTCTAATACAGGTGGCCGATGAGATCACCAGGTGTGAAAAAAAGCCTAAAAAACTAATGCAGACACCACATCTAATGATTGGTGAGCTGCAATATATTACATTTGTAGTTTTGAGTTTGTTATCACTTTAATTTGTTAGTCAAGTCCATCCAACACTACCCTCCCCCTCCCCCCCAGACTGACAAAGCTGCTGTCTAAAGGGTGTGTCCGTTCCAATGTGGAGACAGGAAGTGTTACTGGCTGGATCACTAGGTGAAAAAAAAAGCATAAAAAAAAGAAAACTAATGCAGCCACCACATTTAAAGTCTAGTAACCAGCAATATAATACATTTTTGTTTTTGGGGTCATTATTCCTTAACCCGTTGCCTATAGGACCCTTACTGGCTTTTTATAGGCATTCAACTTTAGAACCCAAAACAGCAGCCCTCTGCTAGAATCGGGCCTTTTAGGCTACGTTCACACTAGCGTTGTGTTTTTACCGCTTCCCAAACGCCTCTGCCAATTCTGCACATTACAGCACCTGGTGCTGTTCTAACGGGAGCGTTTGCGTCGCCTCTGGTCGAGTCAAGAGGTGTTGAAGCCTCCTATTCTCGTCTATGGTGCCGCTCTGCAAAAGCCCAGCTGGTGTTTGCGGTGCGGTTGCGATGTGGTTTGCGGGGCGTTTGTGGAGCGGTAACAGCACTCAAACTGCATTATAGGCGTTTGTGAGATGTTAATAACGCTCGGCAACCGCCGCTAAACCGCGCATGCGGAGCGTTTGTCGAGCATTAAAAAACGCTCTGCAAACGCCGGACCGACGCTTGCCAAACACTATAGGGGCATTTGGCAAGCGTTGGTAAAACAGCCAAGTGTGAACGAGCCCTTATACAGAACTTGAAGTCCATGAAACCAGGCTGGAATATTGTGACACTGAGTGCATTAATTTAGATAGTTTGTATGGTTTACTGACGGGCCTCTGTCCTGTGCTGTCCAAAAGGCAAAAGACTACAGTGACCAAATTCCGCCTTGCCTCTAGCTGGAAAACAAGGACAGGAGGAGGGATGATAACTGATGAAAATGGGGATGAATAGGAAGAAATAAAAGAAAAAAGATGAAAAAAAAGAAAAAAGAAAAAAAAAAAAAAAAAAAAAGAAAAAACGAGAAAACAGAGGGAAAAAGAAAAAGAAAAAGAAAAAGAAAAAAGAAAAAAAAAAAGAAAAGAAAAAAAGAAAAGAAAAAAGGAAAAAAAAGAAAAAGAAAGAAAAAAAAAAAAAGTAAAAGAAAGAAAGGAAAGGAACAAAAAGGGAAAGAAAGAAGAAGAAAGAAAAAAAAAAAAAAGAAACAAAGAAAGGGAAAAGAGGGAAAAAGAAAAAAGGACAAAAAAGAAAAAAAGAGGGAAAAAAGGTAAAAAAAAAAAAAGGGAGACCATGAAAAAACAAAAGAAAAAGGTGAGGGGCCTGCGGTGTACGGTGAGGTGAGGGGCCTGCGGTGTGTACGGTGAGGTGAGGTGGGGCCTGCGGTGTACGGTGAGGTGAGGGGCTGCGGTGTACGGTGAGGTGAGGGGCCTGCGGTGTACGGTGAGGTGAGGGGCCTGCGGTGTACGGTGAGGTGAGGGGTCTGCGGTGTACAGTGAGGTGAGGGGTCTGCGGGTGTACGATGAGGTGAGGGGTCTGGTGTATGGTGAGGTGAGGGGTCTGGTGTATGGTGAGGTGAGGGGTCTGTACGGTGAGGGTGTATGGTGAGGTGAGGGGTCTGGTGTATGGTGAGGTGGGGTCTGGTGTATGGTGAGGTGAGGGGTCTGGTGTATGGTGAGGGGTCTGCGGTGTATGGTGAGGTGAGGGGTCTGCGGTGTGAGGTGAGGTGATGGGTCTGCGGTGTATGGTGAGGTGAGGGGTCTGCGGTGTATGGTGAGGTGAGGGGTCTGCGGTGTATGGTGAGGTGATGGGTCTGCGGTGTATGGTGAGGGGTCTGCGGTCTATGGTGAGGGGTCTGCGGTGTATGGTGAGGGGTCTGCGGTGTATGGTGAGGTGAGGGGTCTGCGGTGTATCAGGCATACGGCTGAAGTCTCGCACAGTAGCGGCTGCCATGTTTCTACCACCCATTGATTGTTGTCACACATTATCGGGGCACTTGGATTTATTCCCACCATAGAAGGACGTTTATTTCTGAATACAACCCTTCAGTAAGACCACCTCTGATACATTCCTCCGGACTGGAGATGGGTATTACGGGGGTCTCGGTGGTCTTGGCCAGGCCTGAACTTCCATTTTCAGAGTCTTCTGCACGGTCTTTGTGACCACCAGCTGCCTTGCCAGTCGTCATCCTTGCTGGCTTGTTGTCCTTCTGTAGGGGGCAGCACCTTGCTGATGCAGGATGACCACCTTGTATCTTGTTGGTTACAGTGTAGCTCTCACTCCTGCAGGGCCCGCAGTTTAAGGTCCCTAGGGTCTTCTCCCGTAGTGGCCCCGCAGCCAGGCACACAGTCACTCCTTTGGCTCTATGAACAGTCATGGGGTATTCTTTTCTCAAGCTTTAATGCAGAAACAGGCTTGGAGTGACTCCGGTAACTTTAGCAGCAACTTGAGGACTCTAATCTTCCTCAGAATCTGAGCAGAGTCCATTGCAGCAGCAAATATCAGGACTGAGCTATACCAGGACACCATGAACACTGGGCCACTATGAGCAGGACTGAGCTATACCAGAACACCATGAACAATGGGCCACTATGAGCAGGACTGAGCTATACCCGGACACCATGAACAAAGGGCCACTATGAGCAGGACTGAGCTATACCAGGACACCATGAACAATGGGCCACTATGAGCAGGACTGAGCTATACCAGGACACCATGAACAATGGGCCACTATGAGCAGGACTGAGCTATACCCAGACACCATGAACAATGGCCACTATGAGCAGGACTGAGCTATACCCAGACACCATGAACAATGGCCACTATGAGCAGGACTGAGCTATACCAGGACACCATGAACAATGGGCCACTATGAGCAGGACTGAGCTATACCAGAACACCATGAACAATGGGCCACTATGAGCAGGACTGAGCTATACCAGGACACCATGAACAATGGGCCACTATGAGCAGGACTGAGCTATACCAGGACACCATGAACACTGGGCCACTATGAGCAGGACTGAGCTATACCAGAACACCATGAACAATGGGCCACTATGAGCAGGACTGAGCTATACCAGAACACCATGAACAATGGGCCACTATGAGCAGGACTGAGCTATACCAGGACACCATGAACACTGGGGCCACTATGAGCAGGACTGAGCTATACCAGGACACCATGAACAATGGGCCACTATGAGCAGGACTGAGCTATACCCGGACACCATGAACAAAGGGCCACTATGAGCAGGACTGAGCTATACCAGAACACCATGAACAATGGGCCACTATGAGCAGGACTGAGCTATACCCGGACACACCATGAACAAAGGGCCACTATGAGCAGGACTGAGCTATACCAGAACACCATGAACAATGGGCCACTATGAGCAGGACTGAGCTATATACCCGGACACCATGAACAAAGGGCCACTATGAGCAGGACTGAGCTATACCAGGACACCATGGCCACTATGAGCAGGACTGAGCTATACCAGGACACCATGAACAATGGGCCACTATGAGCAGGACTGAGCTATACCAGGACACCATGAACAATGGGCCACTATGAGCAGGACTGAGCTATACCCGGACACCATGAACAATGGCCACTATGAGCAGGACTGAGCTATACCAGGACACCATGAACAATGGGCCACTATGAGCAGGACTGAGCTATACCAGGACACCATGAACAATGGGCCACTATGAGCAGGACTGAGCTATAGCAGGACACCATGAACAATGGGCCACTATGAGCAGGACTGAGCTATACCTGGACACCATGCACAATGGGGCCACTATGAGCAGGACTGAGCTATACCAGGACACCATGAACAATGGCCACTATGAGCAG